AATATAAAAGAAAAATAACCTAAGTAAGAAGAAGGAAAGTAAAGGAGAAAGAAACACCTCTACAGGCACAATCTAACCTCCAACGCACAGTTCATATCAGCACATATTTCAGCAAATACCCGGTTTTGATCTTGCATGCAAAAACACAGCAGGGGATTTTTTTCAAGTTATGCAAGGATGCACAGGGCAAGTAGGATATTAGTGCTTGGTCCACAGAACCAGATGAACAAGAACAAGAAAAATCTGAATGGGGAAAAAGGCAGCAATATTAAGTTATCACTAAAAATCATTTTTTAATTTTGTGTTTCTAAATTGCAACTACAAAGTATTTGGGAAAACAGTCTCAGCCCTCCCACAATAGAAAACTGAAGCAGGCTTCCATACTAAGTAGGAATTGGTGCATATTCTCCGTTTTATTGCAAAAGCTGTTTTACTAAAAGAGGCTATTTGGACTGTTCCCAAAGGATGATGCAGAGGTTCAAGAAAGTTCGAAACAGATCAGACAATTTATGGTCGATAAGTCTATCAATAGCTAGTAAACACCATGATGCAATCCAGTGAAATCTCTGGCTCAGGAAATTCCCATAACCTCTGACTGCCAGAAGTTAGGAAATTCTACACTTGTCATATTTCTTCCAGTCTTTCTGTACTCATCCTCTACTGGTCAGTCAGTAAAAAGCAATTGGGCTAGATGGGCTACTACTGCTATAAACAAAAATGGGGGTTCATATATCCTGTGTTCTAAAAAGACAAGGTCATTGTTGTTATCTTATGATGCCATCTGTGATGAAAATTTTTATGATCTGGGCCTGCAAAGTCTCATAAAAGTGACAGTGGGTCTAATCTGGATTTCACAGAAATACACAGCAGAAGCAACTCCGTTTAAGTTAATAAATTAATATTAGTGACAAATGTAGATGACAAATGACAGACTCATTAACTCAGATCTGTAGCTTTCCCTTCATACTGAATGGAATAGACAAAGGCTGAGACGTGGGACATCAGTGAGGACAGCCTGCCAGGCATGAAGAAATAAGATTAAACTGACCTGCAGAAAAATCTCTAGGTTTGAAACAGGTGTGACAGCACCAAAGGTTTTGGATACAGTTCCCTTTTTTTTAACGGTGGAGTCTTCTTTTGAGAAGAATCAAAGCAAGTGTCAACGTAGCTCTATAAAAAGGTAGAGTAGGAAGATGAATGCTATCCTTTTGCAGACTGGCTAGAAGTCCTACTGAAACCAGATCCCTTGTCCCAAACCACTGCGGTTTCAGTTAAAAGATTAGGGCTTGGAAAGGCTCTTGCAGTTGTAATAATTGTAACTGGGTGACTTCGAGGAAAAGCTAAAATCCACTGGGGAAAGATTTGATTCTGGAGACCTGACAGTAGCAAGAGTTTTGCAAGTTCCCTCATTCCTAATCTAAGACCATATGGAGCTCAACTACCAGGTGGGTGGTATATTAATTGAGGGAATGTGCAGCTTGTCATATTCAAAATCAACTTGTTCTTCGTAACTGAGCATTAGTATGGAAAACATGGCAAGAAATATGGAGATCCTGGGAGACAGCCTCCACCTCTAAGTAAAATAACAAAAACTATGCATCTGGATTCCACTTTTCTACTAAATTCAAAACAGAACTGAGAAGCTTGGTTTCTCTTCTCTGGAGAAGATTATGACATTTACCCATTTTAGCAAATGAAATAATGTAAAATAATACACTATCATATTTTTATTTCATTTTCCATCTTTTGCTTTACCAATATTTTGGTAAGCTTTATTTTAGCAGGCCTAAAACAAGGAATGCATCATATCACTTTACCTTTATCGTCTCAAATTCAGTAACAGTTGGATTTCTGGACGTGTACAGAGTTCCACTGAAGCATTTCAGTCCCTAAGCTCTCTTCAGAGATGTGGAAGAGAATTATTGGTAGCAGAAATATGGTGCTAGCAGAAATGCTATAATGGTATAATACTATAATTGCATTATTTTAGAATGGCTGCTGTCATTTTTTACTGCAAGTGTAGTGCATGCATACCTGCTCAGTGTAGTACGTAGCACTGGTAGAGTTCCAACAGTCATATTTCAGTAAATGCCAATTTAAACAAGATCCACCTGGCTTACAAGAGGAAAGAGTCTCTAACTGTGATTATGGGCTTCATGTTGTGATCCTTATGCTAATAGTATCTTAAAGAGAAAGCAGCTCTTGCCCTGAAACACCTGATCCCATCAAGAATCCTAGAAGATCCTCTGGAGCTCAACTTCACAAAGCTCTGCAGAACCTGCCAAGGAGGAATCCTGCTTTAATCAAAACTCTGGCTTTTCAAGTGACCTCACTTGCTGAAGCAGTGTGGCACTCTTACCAAATAGACGTAAATCATTGCAGAGGGAAATACTTTAATAATAAGGTCTTATTTTGCTGCTAAAGAGTTAAGTATAACAAGACATAGCACAGCATTCGGTGTGCTCATACATTGGTAAAAAATACTATCTGAGAAGTGGGCATCAGGGAGCCATGAAAAAAAGACAGATGTAATCATTTCCACTCCAAATTCACTGTGCAGAAAAGAGTAGAAATGTAACTTGACACCATACTTTTTTATATTTACCTGGTCAGCCAAAGTCCAATAACATAAAAATCAAAAAGCTAATTGTGACCTCAATGCACTGACAAGTGTTATGTAAACACTTACAGATCCTACCTGGTGCACTCAGACCCACGGCTATATACTCCTGGAACAAATTAGAAACTGGAGCTACTGTAATAGCTGGATATCTCGTTTCTTTAGAATACATTTGAATAAGCAAAACATGAACAAGCAAGGAATGGATGAGACAGATAAGCAGCTAATTCCAATTTGCAGGAACTTCCTGCTTGCTAACTCATCCACTACAGTCAGCCCTCTTCCTTCAGAAAGAAATATCCACCAATTCTACATTCTGGTCCGGGGAATGTAGAAATGTACAGAAACAGGCTGAACAACTCTCAGTTTTTTAATTGTCTTTATAAAAATGAGAACTCAGGGAGGAGTTGAGGATGATTAGGAACTGATGATAGGATGCACTGCCTGATTTTCCTCCCTCTAAACACATCACTTCGTTTTTTTTCAATTCTCCAGGTTTTCAGACACATCAAGAGCAGTTATTTGTTCTTTCTAAAGACTAACTCTTTTGAGAACTGGCACTTACACTGTCTGTGAAAAGGAAATAAACCTTTGACAAATTCTTACCTTCTAAAACCACTTTTTAATGGTTTAATGACTTTTTAAAACCAACAAATTGAATTTTGCCAAAAATGTCATTGCAAAACAGAAAGTGCTTCTCAACCCTGACTACAGAATCGCCACTGCAATGTAATAATCACCTGAAGGGAGAAGGTTCTTTAGAAAAACAAATGTATATTTATTGTTAATTACAGCGCCATATTTCATCATTTAACATTGAAAATGCCCACTAATAAAATAGCACTCATTGTTTTTATAATATTTCCACTTCAAAATGTTATTTTCAGAACTCTAATTGATCCTCCAAACGAGCTTTATTAATCATTGACAGAAAGCTGGCAAAACCCTACTTCGTACTTTGGCAACCTTTCAAAATGTCCAATTAGGTCAAATCAGGAAAGCTCTAGAAACCAATTACAGCAGAACTTCTAAGCCAAAAAAACTCATTGTACTCTGAAACAACTGCAACATTATAGGAAAGGAAAAAAAAACCTGAACCACAGTCCAGTTATGCATCTGAAATACCACCTCCATAGAAATGGAGTTAGCCACTGGTTAGCCACTCCTTAACCACATCAGTTAAACATATTTGCTCACAGATTTTCCTTATCAGTGTCATAATGTCACCGAGTAGTTCACCATAACAAACAGTGCCAGCCCGTTTCTTAATCTGTCAAGCGAACACTGACTCCCCTTCAATGTTTTTTCTATACATCTCATCTGTAGTGCTCTAATTTCACATGTATACAAAGTCTACACCTTTCTATGAGTTTCACGAGTACTGTACCCCACTTGCATATTTGCACATTAAAAATATGCTGACAACATGATAAAAACAATCTTAGCAACAACAACAATAACCATCTTTACTCAAATATTTGATCTTCGCTTTTGTAGTACTACAGCCTGTAGAGCCATAGGTGCCGGTGGGCTGTTTGGGGTGTGTCTTGCTGCCAATCCTAATCCCACCACCCATAGTAAAGAAGTAATTAGAATTTGAAGATGCCAAAGGGAGGCAAAACAAACAAAAATAGCATTTTAATTAACAGCAAACAATAATTAAAATTCCACATTATGTTTAGCATCTGCACATTTCTAGACTCAGTGCAGTGACTCTGAATCTAATGAGATCATCCAACTAAATCCCAGAAGATGGGACAGATTTCAGATTCTGAGTACCTCTCCCGTCATATCTCAAAACAGTAAATAATTCATTCATTCTCAATGTGAAGATGAATAATTAAAAATTCAAAACAATTAACAGTGTAAAGCGAGCAAAATCCATATATCCCAGCCAGATGAAAGGGGAACAAAATGCGCACCCATGTAATGAGAACAGTTTTGAGTTTTCCATTCCAGATATGCACCTAGCTCTGCAAATTCAGACCACAATGCTCCTCACTTTACTAGACGTAAGATGACACTATTTTCAGTAGCACTTATTTACAGTTCTCTTTTATTATGCTAATCTGCCATTATACTAATATGATTAAGAAGGTGGTGTTACACACCACTCTTTCACCAAAGTCATATAAGTTGCTGCTAACATTTTCTACTACAATCCCCCTCTAATTACAACGTTGATCCTCTCTTCTTCTAAGTTTCTTCCTATCTATTTCAATTACTCTATTTCCTACGCCATTCAGTCTTTGGCTGGCCAGCTTCCTTACAAATAGGATCTGATCACATCATCTCAGCACAAAGTATTCCACTCTGAAGTCATGCTTAGAACAGTCACCTTTCATTCAGAAGTCAAACTTCTTAAGAAAAAGCTCCTTACCTTTATCAGGAGGATAGGTCAACTTCCTGAAGTATTACTTTACCATGAGATTGATCAAAGACCATCACCAGGACCTAACCATACAGAAGAAAGTCAAGGGTCTCTCTTGCGCCCATCTCTAGAAACCTAAAGGAAAACATCTGTGAAGTAACCATGTGACTGAGGCATGTTGTCATTTTCCAAAAACAGACCAAACCTTTTAGCAGTTACTAACTGCACTTAAAACTTTAATTCACAAAATGAAGGTAACTGAATTCATAATTCAATTTCTATAACACATTCAAATTTTACAGCCCTGAATATAACATTGAAATCATAGCCACTACTTGGCAGACAATTGCAATATTTTTGCTAATATGCTGACATCTGTTTGTGGCTCTTTTTTATTCCTCCCACTAGTTCTTTACTAATCCATTAATATAAACATCACTACATGTTTGGAAGATCCTTTAGTCCTCTCTTAACTTGCGTTTTGTAGGTTCTTCATGTTCAGACTTTACATGTTTTCTCCCTTATATTTTGCTAAACTGTTAGGTACAGAAGAATAACTGATTATGAATGACATGTATGAAAGCTTTCACTTAGAATGAGCTTCACTGCCTTTGCACAGCATATTTTTTTCAAAAGCCATGTGAAGAATTGTAACAGAAATATTAAGAACTTCATAAAGCAATAAAAACAAACTGGTATGCATACAGGAAGCCAATGTCAGAGCTAAATGTAAGGGATGTCTTTTGTTGTTTGCATCATTACGACTGATTGCAAATATTGCTGCATTGCTTTGTTGACTCGAAAGTTCAGGAAGTTTACTCCATACAGTTTGTTATTGTTTTTATTTATGTCATGCCTTTTCTTCTCCAGCCATCAACACTCTTTTATAACCGCACCACTTTTGAGTTTCTATAAAAGCTTTCCTTGTGTGTTTTTTTTCCTGGTACAGTGGCTAATACCACATTAAAAGTGCTACCTTCCCTTTGGGTAAATGAATAAGCTAGAGGTTATAAGCCCCATGACCCTCCTTTAAATAAATGCTCTGTTCTGCTGTGGCCTAGAAGACCCAACTTGATAAGGGATAGCTATAAGGTTGTCCTCTAGCTTTGAGTAGTAACACGATACCCCACAGTCATGTCTTTGTTGCTCTACATGAGCTTCCGAACGCCAGCCTCTATCACAGTTGCTCCTGGTTGGCAATACTTTCCTGGTAGTTGCCTCAGAATCTTTTTTTCTTCCTTTCAGATGTCTATACAATTTATATTTCCTTGGTCTGCAGTACCTCTTCACGGAGTTTCAATTTTTCCTCTTTAACATTTTGGCCTTCTTTCCAACATCCTCCAATTAAGAGAAGAGAGTAGGCAAACTGAAAAAGACTAAGGAGGAAAAACATCTGATGCAGAACAGTGTGTCTGTCTTTTTCAGTTTTCTGGAAGAGCAGTCCAAAGCACATTCAATAATTTCTCAGGTTTGGGTTTCTAGTCATATCTGCCATCCGCATAGTAAAGCTGATCCCTATCTCCCTAGGACAGAAATTTCGCAGTCCTCCAACCCAGAGCAATATCTCCAGGAAGATCTGTAGCAAGTCAGCGATCTGCTCAAGCTGTTTCCTACTCTCTTCTCTTAATACTTTTCCGCAACTTCCCAACCAGCTACCTCAGTTTTTGTGCATTATTCTGGTTGATCTCCAGGTCTAGACAATTCGTATGATGAAAATGAACATATCTCATCTCCGTAGTCTCAGCCGTTTTCTGAGGGCTACTAACCTGCATCTCTTCTTTTTGACTTTTCTAATGTTAGTCAACAAACTCAAATATTTATTTCCTTCTGAAATTTTTTACCTTACTTGGACCACTTCAACTTCTTTTTAATATCTGGTGTTTTCAAGTTTTCCATCATTATCAAAGACGTTTCTTTGGATTTCAATGTTTTCCCAACTGTCTTTCTCAAAAGTTTTCCATTTCAGCTTCTTCCACAAAAACAAAGCATTCCTGTATTAGTATGTTCCCCTTTTTTTTTTTCCACTAGGCCTCATTTTAAAGAGGTTCCCTTTTTAAATCTGAGACGATATGTCTTTCTCCATTTCCCTAATAAATCCTTTCCCAAGCTTTTTCCCACTATCTAACAATATCTTCTCATTTACCCCATTGTTCAAGTTTTATGTCAAGTAGTCAATATAATTTTATATTAGAATAATTGTATATTTTCACTTTATGTTCATTGATTCTTTAAACTTTGGCAGCCTATTATGCTGTCTGCTTTGAATTCTTAACTAAAAATAAGTTTTACTCCTTTTGGAAATTCTCCTGCTACAGACTCTACGAACTTTTTAAAATTATACATGGTATCTTTCTGATGAAGGTCAACAGTAGTGGAGTCTAGAAGTGGCTTCCTGCTATCCTTTCCAACTTGTTTATTCCCTTAGTCCCTGCAGTATTTTCTGTCAGGTATGCTTTCTTCCTGGAAAAACAAATCTTTAGCTTGTAAGAGAGAATCCTACATTTTGATATCCTCCTGTATGTTCTGCAGTGCTTTCTTTTTACTAAGCCTCTTTCTGCTTTTCGCTTTCTGGCACCTTCTTGCTATAGTACGTGAACAATCCTCACTCCCCATTTCACCATTTAGCAAAGCTTCCTTCTGTGACGACAATATTCACCTCAGAACATATGGCAACGCTGGACTCTGAAAAGTGCCCAAACTCCAGTTCTAATCAGAATGCTGTTTTTCTGGTTATTTGATCTGGGCATAAGCATTAGATAAATTCTTTTTGACCAGAGGTGCTTTCCTAGTCTAATGAAAACAAATATATCGCTCAGTTCTTAGTTAACTAACATAACCTTGGTAAATAAGTGATCCTGCTTTCCTTGCAGTCAACAGTATTTTGCTACGGACTGTCATGAGAGGAGGCTCTGCCCCGAACGGGGGAAGATTGTTCCGTGACTGAGATACAATCGTGAGAGCCGGGATGTGCCATCTCCTCTCCTCAGCTCTGCCACTTGTTGCTGCGGGACTTCAGACAAGTTATTGCGTATTCCCGCGCCTTGTGTTTTCCACATAATCAGCATTTTCTCTTACTTTCTTTACATCACTTCCCCAGAAGTATTACCAAAGAGCACACTATCCGACTGTACGGTGTTTCCAGGAGGCATTGAGCTGAACTGATTAGCAGGCCAGCAGCATCCACCTTTTTTTTTTTTTTTTTTTAAAATACTGGTAATTATCTTTCAGAGTCAGCAGTACAACTAACCCACAGCGTCACGGAGACCGCACAACAAATTAACGGGACCAGCCACACGCACTTCCTTACAGCTTTTGTCTTATTTGGTGCCGTCTGGACGAC